CACTGGGAGAGGCCGGTGCCGAGCGCGCGACCTGGCGGGGCCGGCGGTCCCGGGATGCTGGGAGCGCGCAGCCCGCCCGGCCGTGCCGGGAGCCGCCGGCTGCCCGGGATACAGCGGCCGTGGTTCCGCGGGGCACGGTGTCTGCTTGGTTTAGCCGGTAACCTAGTTAGGGAAGCAACATGTGCACTAGGATTTGGTAGTCGGCTGTGTCAGCAGCCCGGCTCCTGCGGATGAAGTGTGTTTGTGGGTATTTGTGCTGTTTCATGGGTTTCGGGGCCGCTCCTATGAGTTCGTTCCACTGGAGGGCTCCAGAGAACTGAAACTCACACAGCGGCATTTGTAAGATACCTGGACCAGTAGCTTGGCAAACGCAGGGTGTTTTTAAATGGATCCTCAAAGAGATGATGGGTTTGAAAGCCTTTTTGCTTTCAGCACTTATCCCTGCAGTTTCTCTGTACTTTATTAGACAATCCCACAAAGTTGTTGAAGTGAGTTTTAATGGGTATGCTAGGCTTTGCAGTTAAGGATGGAGACACAGAAGTGGTCTGAGGGCTGGAACCCCTCTTCTGTGAAGACAGGCAAAGAGAGCTGGAATTGTTCAGCCTGGAATAGAGAAGGCTCCAGGGAGACCTTACTGTGGGCTTTCAGTACCTAAAGGGAATGAAGGTACTTTTGAATATGAAAAAAGATGGTAAAAGGCTTGTTACCAGGGCTCTGGGTGAGGGACAACAGTATTAAACTGAAATACAGATTTAGACTGAACTAAGGAAGAATTTTTTATGATAAAGATGAAGAAGCTGTGGAACAGGTGTCCCAGGGAAGTTTTGCAATTGGAAATGTCCAAGATCAAGTTGGACAGAACATTCAGCAACATCATTTTGTGCGAGATGTTGAACTAGATGGTCTTCAAAGGTCCCTTCCAACCCAAACCATTGGATAATTCTGTGCTACCCCAGCTGAAATTACCTAAGTTTCTGTAACAAGTGATAATGCAGAGTATTCAGTCACCTTGGTTGTTGTTAATTTCTTCTCTTGTAGTTAACACCTGTAAATGTTTTCAGGCAAACAGTCTATTGGAAGGTGTGGGATACAGGAAGCAAGGGTTGCCCTAAAGGCTTTGCTTTAAAGCAGAGTCAGCCACCTTCCAAAGAGAGGGAGTGATGGTCTTCAGAGCATAAAGCGTGTCGACCAGCAGACAGTATTCTAACATCATTTTCCAAAAGCAGGGTTACAAATACCAGTGCAGGCCTGCCAACACCTGTACTGTTGGTAGGAGTAAGAAACCTCTCTTTGGAGTGCAGCTGCACTGAAGATGGCTCTTGTGGGGGTGACAGATGCTGCAGCTCCCCTGACTGTAGAGCAGCAGGGAGCTGAAAGTCTCGGCTTTGTCTGGGCACAAGCTGCTAGGGTTGCTGACAGACGAGCTCCTGGTTTTTAATTTGTTTGGTGCAGCAGTAAACCTTGTGTCATCTCTGCTGTTAAGCCATTACAAGACTTCCCTTGTCCCATATGACATACAAACTCCTGCTCTGATAAGAATGCTTTCTGTACTTTGGGCTCAGAGGTGCTGTAGGGCTTAAGAGTCCACAAATTTAGCACAGTTCTACAGTTTTTTAGTGGTTAACTCACCTTATAAGCTGTAGTGGTAGAGTGGAGTTATAACCATGTTTGATTTTTAGTTAAGTGCAGGATTATGTAAAGATTCAATGGGAACAGGAGTGTCTAGTCTCACTTCTTTTCATGACTGAGGTACATGGTGGTTCTAAGTCTGCTTTTGGTGACATATAATATTTTGGGTAGGTGTTAAAGTGTTCTTACTTTCATCACTGGGTGATCCCTTATTAAGTGATAATTGTATTTATCATTGAGGTTAATATCTGCTCATGACTAGTGAGGAGTAGTTTATTTTGTTATTGGCACTATTAATTTTTGTGCAGACGCATGTTCGTTGCAGAGGAAGTTGCAGATGGACCATTCACTTCAGAAAAAAAAATAATGCTGTGTTACAGGGCTAATTGAAAATCCTGCATCAGGACTTTCACTGGAATGATACATGAAAAAAATAATCAGATTAGACTTCCCCCCCACCAAACCCAGCACAGTTTTGACTTAAACTGCCTAAGTTATGATAATGTTTCTGTGGTAGTAAATGTTCTAGCAGGGATTTTGCTTTCCTACTCTATGATAATCAAATCATGTGTTTGTCTTTGTCTTAGAAATACAAAAAATAAGTAAATGATCTCTGGATGCCAATATCTGGTCCTTTTGCTCTTTTAAAAAAGAATTGTGTTCAGCTCAGTGGATATGTGGATGGAAGTTTGAATTGACAGACCTTGGAAGCTGTACTGTGGGAGTAACTCCCTGAAGATGATTTCACAGTACTTTTTTTTTTCCTTTTAGTTTTTTTTTTTTTTTTGAAATTTGACCTTTGTTCATGCTGCTTCATCTTGTTAGCATTGTAAATATTAGTCAGATGTATTGATGTGTGAACCAGGTTCTGGAAAACTTCGTGGATACTGAGCAAGCTGTTTTCATCAGTTCTTTTTCTGGTTCTGTATTTTGGATCTTGGTCACACATGTGAAAAGCCTCTGTTCTTCAGTCTGAGAAAGAACACTTCTGATGTTAAAGAATGCAGTGGAGCAAATTTTAGTGATACATAACTATAAGTGAGCTGGAAGATTTAACATGTTTTTTGACTTGTCATCATGCTAACAGATCCCAGCAGGAACAAAGGTACAGCTTCTGGCTCTCAGGAGGAGAAAAGATGCATAATATCTGGGCATGAAATACTGGGAACAACTTAGGCTGGTGCCCTACATGATGTATAGAAGTCTTTGGCCAAGTCAAAGTGTCATGAGTGAAACAGAGTAGTAGGCAAGACGGTTACTGTAACTTTTTCTGATTTAGTGCAGATTTAAATTGTGCCATAAATATTTGATTTTCTAATCAACAGATGAATGTAATATAGTAGTAAATATTAATTCTCCCAAGTAAAATCAAAGCTGGTATGTTTTTGTCTGAGTGATGGTATGCATTTGTTCTGACTGAGTGAATGTGTCTGCAGCCACTCTGTAGTAACTTGCAGGGTCTTCCTATGTGGGTGCATAGGATACAGCACTTTTCCAGACTCCCACATCTTGTTAACTGCAGAAGTGTTCTGACTTACCTGGCTCTTCTATGCTAAGACCACCAGCTAATGATAGTTCTTGTGAGTGACACCCTTTCTGCATTAAATTTTTCTTCTTGGTAGGGGGACTCCTTTGGTTATGCAAAGCTATTTTTCATTTGCAGTTCTTTTCAGTTGCACCTCTTATGCACAGATTCTTACAGAAAAGTATATTTTATTCCAGTGACACAGTCATGGGTGAAGCACCCTGTTTACATTTCCTTCCAGTTGGGAGCACTTTGAAATAGACATCTTTGGAGTTTGTACCATGTGTGTCTATTACTGACTTTGGATTCCAGCTTGGTTGCATATTGATAATACCATGGCTGAGCTGCTCTTTCTGATTCCTTGGGAGAGCTATGTGAACTGTTGGTGTTGTACCCCTAGAGTATCCACTAGTCCTTCCAACCTCATTGGTGATGTTTTTGCTACCATGGCCCTGTTGAAGCAATAGCATAGTGGGAGAAAAGGGAGGGGGGAAACAGCTCTGCAGCAATACTTGTTCAGCTTCAACTCTTGGAGGTATTTGCCTTATTCTTGTCTTTCTACTAACTGATTTGATCCTGGTGTGGTGAATGTAGGATTAGGTTTATCCTGCTTGCAGGTGCACAGAATTCATCATGGAAGCTCATCATGAGCTTTCAGTCACTGTGCTAAAACTTCACAGAGTCAATACCAGCTACCTTGAATGAAAGATAAAAACCTTACATTAGAATAAGGCATCCACATGACAGATCAAGAAATCAGGCTATTGATTTCAAGGAGCTCTGCTCCTGAAATATCTCCATTTTCCTTTAGGTTCACTTTCAGAGCCTAAATATATATGAAATGAAGAAACTGCCCACAGAGTATGTGATGCTTTTGAGATCCTTCTCCAGATGTGTTGTGGATGACTTTTGTAGCCCAGGTTCTAGAAAGAGCATCAGAGACTAATGTGCCTTTGCTGCTTGTATTGTCTTAAATTCACACCAGAAGATTACCAAGCTAATCACACTGGCTGTTCAATTACAGTGTGTTTCAAAACCAGTAATTGCAGTTTGTTATAAATCAGGACTCCTATCTCCTGGGGTCTTTCTCTTCAACTATATAGACCTAAATATAGTCAAAAAGTCATGGCTGCACTGTCAGGTTACCACACAGTAGAACATCGTTCTAGCCTTTTTTTTTTTTTTTTTTTTTTTTTTTTTTTGGTTGGTTTTGGTTTTTTGCCAAGATACCTGACCTGTGAATGGAGTGCAAAAGAGTGTGTTGTCTTTAAACCCTGAGGTGCAAAGACTAGCTGTGTAGGGATTCTCCATGTATGCATGATGACCTGCTCTTTCAGCTTCCTTATTTAATTAGATGATGGATATTTCTTTGCTAAATGCCATGCTTGTTTGGAATGCCTGCAAGACAAATCTTTAGTCACCAGAAAAACTCCTGCAGCTGTGTGTTAAGAGTTCAATTTGCAAGTAAAACTTGTCAGGCCATCTTGTGTCATATATTGACCTGCTCTTCAGGAATGATGAGTAGCATGATCAGAAAAGTGATGCGGCAGCCGCCCCTCAGCATCAGAAGGCTCTTGATTTCTCGCTGTGGGC